AATGTATGTAAATTCTGAGAACTTTCAGTATGTTGGGATCTTCCAAGAGGTTGAAATCGATCTTTTCATGAAAGCGTACTTCTAGCGACTCAATTGGTAACCATGATACATTTTCATGTTCTAAGAAACTGCTCTTGTTTTTAAAATTTATATCGTTCCTTTACATAGATGTCACAACAATATACTAACATCGTGATATTTCTTTTCAAGTTCATTTAGGCAACTGACATAGCCAGAAGAAGTTGAAAGCTATGTTATCTTTTTTTACATGCTCAAGTTAGTGAGACAGAGAGATCCTTCCATTTCTTCCTTTTTTTTCTTTCTAGATTTTCCTCACAGGACTTCTTTATTCTTATACAAAATTTTTAAAATCTAAGTGATCATCAGAGGTATCTTGTATCGTTTTGTAATTTAATTTATCATTTAATATTTCTAATGCTAATTTAAAATAATTTGCTTCAACACTTGAACGAATTTGAAGAAAAAAATTTTTAATTGGAAAATTTTCTGTATATTCTAATGAATAAATCCAGGGACTGTACAGACTACTACTTATATATAGCAAAAATGGAATCTAAGATATAACTACCTATACACTTGTCTCCTATTCTATTGGCTATTCTATAACAAACTCACATGCTAGAATAAATAATATGTGCAAAATACAAAACTTAATCTTATCTTCAGCTTCTTCTAGTAGGCCCAAGGAAAACGAATTAATTCATTGAGTTCAATGGATGTGAGCCCAAGATTGATGTAGAAGCCCAATGTCCCTATAAAATCTGGTCGAGACATTTGTTTGTGCAAGACCTTTGATTTCCTCCACGTGGCTTGATCTCAGCTACTCAAATCTTCACAAAGATATTCAGACATCAAATGTATCGAACATCCTAGAAGACCAAACTTTACCTTCTGTCAAAGACGAGTTCTTCTTCTTTCTTCCTTTATTCTTCTTCTCTATCTTTGAGTAAAATTCCATGAATCCCAGAATTTGAATGGGCTTTCATCTTCCCAACATCCCCCCTCAATTTAGAGGGTAACTTTGTAACCCCCAACTTGATCAAAATCTCTGAGTGATAAACCCCTGAAAGTGGTTTTGTGAAAAGATCCGCCAATTGGTCTTTAGAAGGAACAAAAGATAGGGTATTTAGTCCGGAAAGGAACTGTTAACGCACAAAATGACAATCAATCTCGACATGTTTTGTGCATTCATGGAAGACGGGGTTACAGGCGATGTGAATGGCTACTTTGTTGTTAGAGTGAGGAGGTATGGGAAGGTTTACTGGTGCAGAGAGATCCTCAAGAAGTCGAACAAGCCAAGTAAGTTCTGCAGTTACTCTTCGCATAGATCTGTATCCTACCTCTGTAGATGATAAAGAAATTGATATTTGTTTCTTTGATTTCTAGGAAATTGGTACTTCTCCTAGTGTGATGAAAAACCCATTTACAGACCTTCTGGAATCCTTGCAAGAAGTCCAATCAGCATCACAAAATGCAAGCAAGGAAAATAATGGTGTTGTTGAGAGAAGAATTCCTTGTCCCGGATCGGAGCTCAAGTATTTCAACAATCGCAATGCAGCAATAAAGTGAGGGAGATAGGTTTTCTACATGTACTGGCTGAAAGTAAGAACTGCAAAGGAAAGACATGGGCGAATGTTAGTCAGATAGTTCAATTTCCCAACTAGATAACGATACACTGTGGGATTTTGCAAAGGTCAGCCATCATCTGGTTGAAGTTTGGAAGGAAGGATAAAGAGGAGAAGTGACTCGAGCCAAGTGAGAAACATCAAACTCCTGCAACATGTCCAAGGTAAATTTCCTTTGACTCACAATGAAACCTTCCTTTTCTCTCAGAATTTCCATCCCTAAAGCTTCCTAGATTTTTGACTTTGAATTCAGTGTTTAGAAAGTCCTTGATGTGTTGAATCTCTTCCAAGTCATCTCCAGTTAGTAGAATGTCATCTACATAGATAGATATGATAGAAATCAGGCTTCCTATGCGTTTAAAGAATAGAGAATAATCATTAATGATGAAGAATACCCCTTAAAACTCAAAGCCCCTGCAAGCCTAGCATACCATTGCCTGGAAGGTTGCTTCAACCCATATAATGACTTCCTTAGTAAACAAATATGCTTAGGGCTAAGATGTATTAAATCTGAAGGAAACTTCATGTATACCTCCTCCTGAAGATCACCATGCAAAAATGCATTGTTGACATCCAATTGAGACAAATTCCAATCTCTTTTGGCTGCAATAATGAGCAAACATCTTATAGTAGTCATTTTCACCACTTGTGAAAAGGTCCTACCATAATCTATTCCCTCTCTTTGGACATCCCCCCTGACCACCAGCCTTGACTTTAATCTTTCAACTCTTCCATCTGATAGATGCTTTAACTTATATACCCGTTTACAAGGTAGAACTCTTTTCCATTTAGATAGTTCAACTACATCCCAAGTGTGGTTGTCTTCTATAGCTTTAATCTCGGAGTCCATAGCCTCTATCCAACCTGGATGTTGACAAGCTTGTCCAAAATTTTTAGGCTCTATGAGAGTAGAAATTGATTGCATTACATATTGATTGTTGGGAGATAGAGAAGAAAAACAGTACTCCCTAGGTTTACTTGGTTGAGTGAAACAGACAGCTCATACATCTGTGAACATGATATTACTACACACATAATCCTTTAGGTAGGTTGGTTGATTGGAAACCCTTCCTGACCTCCTCACTAATGTAGGCTGTTTAGGTGCAGGAACATGTGAGCTAGTATGTGGTGTATCTGGGATAGGTGGAAAAGAAACTGGGCTAGGAGATAATTGGGGATGGTGAGAAGTAGATGAAGATCTTGGTGATGGTGAAGAGAAAATGTCAGAAACTTCAAGTTCTAAAGAGATAGGTGAAGGTTGATCCTGTGATGGAGATAAGTAGATAGATTATGTACTGAAGGTTGAGCTTGGGAATATAGGTTGGTGTGAAGGTCTGTTCTTAGCAAAAGGAAAGTGTGTTTCATGAAACTTCACATCCCTTGACACAAATACTCTTCATGTGGACAATTATAGTAGCTTATATCCTTTTTGATGAAGGGGGTAACCAACCAAAACACATGTTGTTTCCCTTTCATCAAACTTTCCTCTTCCTTGTGCTAATGTTGAAGCATAACAAAGGCATCCAAAATTACTTAAATAATCATACTTGGGCTTCTTCTGGAACAAAACCTCATATGGTATTTTGCCTTTAAGAACATTGGAAGGCATCCTATTAATAAGATGTGTGGCAGTTAGGATAGACTCTCCCCAATATGACATAGGTAGCTTTGATTGAAACATCAACCCTCTTGCAGTCTCTAAGATGTGTCTATGTTTCCTTTCAACAACTCCATTTTATTGAGGAGTTGCTACACTAAGACCTTTGATGCAAAATTCCTTGAGAACCTAGGAAAACTGCCTCTTGTGTACCTTTTCCCAATTCCAGTGCATTGTCAGATCTTATCACTTTGACTTTCACATTGAATTGTCTCTCAACCATAGACAGAAAAGATTTAAGCATAGGGAAAGTATTACTTTTAGCACTTAATAAAAATGTCCATGTTCCTCTACTACAGTCATGTACTATAATAAGAAAATATCTGAAACCATTGTAAGTATTTGACTTATAAGGTCCCCATGTGTCAATATGTATAAGTTCAAATTTATGCTTGGACCTTATGTTACTGACAGGGAAAGGGTTTCTGGTTTGCTTAGCCTTAGAACACACATCGCAAATAAACTCAGAATTTGATTTACAATGAAGCAAATCTAAATGTTTCATTGCTGAAAATGGGAGGTGTTCCAATTTTACATGCCAAAGCTTAAAATCAGAAACAACATTAACTTGAACTGGACTAGAAAAAGAAACAGACTCAAATGGAATTTTTTACTTTTGGAATTGAAAATACATCACTACTGAACAGACCCTTAGACTTAAGACTACTTGGTTCCAATAAGTAGAGCCCTTCTCTAACTTCACCAAAAGCTTGAGGACTTTCATTGAAAGGCCCTACAATACACACTCAATAGATGTGAAAAGGACATCATACTTGAATTGAACACAAAACCTATAAACTGATAACAAATTATACTTGAATTCTGAAACATGCAATACATTGTTCAGAATATGACCAGGAAAAATAGAAATGCTCCCTACATGAGTAACAATCACCTTGAAAGAGTTACGTAAATTGATGTTCAAAGGTAGAGACAGAAACAAGAAAGAATTAGGATCAAAACACATATGCTCTGAGGCACCTGAATCAATGATCCAGGTGTCTGATTTTAAACTAGTGAATGATGAACCTGAGTATTTTAGAATAGTACCATCAACTACATTAGCATTGATTCTTGTATTTCCTGCCTGTGCTATGTTTGCTTGCTTATACATGTGCATCATTTCTGCAACCTATTCTTTGCTGAGTTGCTGTCCAAAATTATTGCCATTGAGTTCAGTGCCTTGTCCTGCTGAATTTTCATGTTCCTCATTTGTCACCACTGCATTTCCCTTAATCTGATTATGACATCCGTTGTGATTTGTGAACTCAAAATTCTCTGGAAATCCAATAATTCTGTAGCAATCTTCTTGTGTATGTCCTGTTTTTCCACAATAAGTATAAGACATATTTGGATTGTACTTCTTCTTTCCTTTGAATCTTTGCTGAGGCTTAACAAACCTTTGTCCAGAGTTGTTGAGTTTGGGTGCCATGGCTGCTCCCTTTTGTGTCTGGTTTCTGACCTTCTGATAATTTTTTCGTATCCTGTGATCATAAAAGCTGCAAAATCAGCTAGAAGCTGTGCATTAAGCTGCTTGTTCTCTCCTGCTGCTATAAATGATACTGATTGAGAGTTAAAATGTGCATTTGCATAAACCTCTCTTTGATTTTCATCTTGTAAGAGAAGTGAATAAGCATTATCCATGCTAGGCAAATGATTCATCATGAGGAAACCAAGAAATTAGATCCCATTAGAAATTAGATCAACCTCTGATCCTCTAGTGACTTAGTTAATTTTGCTTTTCCTTTACAAACACAAACACAAGAGCAGCATATGATAACATTCAAAGTATCTAATTCATCCCACAATCGTTTCAGCTTAGTGAAATATCCTGCAATATCACTGTTTCCCTGTACTAATCTTGATAATTCCTTTTGCAGATGATAAAGTTTAGCTCCATTTGATCTCCCAAATCTCTGCTCAAGGCTGTCCCAAAGCTCTTTTGCAGTTTTGGAATAAATCACACTATCTGCAATATCTTTTGAAAGAGCATTAAAGATCCAAGAGATGACCATGTCATTCACACAACTCCATTGTTCATGTTCTGGAGAATTCAGATCTGGAGATTGACAAACTCCATTGATGAAACCAAGTTTCTTCTTGGCTGATAAGGACAAGAGAATAGATCTTCTCCATCCCGGGTATCCTCTTCCATCAAATAAAGTTTTGACTAGAGTCATACCAAGTGAATCAGAATTATCGAGGTGATAGGGGTGATTAACATTATAGCTCACAGCCTTTGTAACATTGCTGGTTTCTGCAGTGATGGTTGTGTCACCCATTTTGTTCTACTGAAAACTGATGTAATAGATAGATTAGTTGATTGAATTGTTGGAGCGAGCTAGTTGCTCTGATACGATGAACGAATTTGAAGAAGAAATTTCTTAATTGAAATTTTTTCTATATATTCTAATGAATAAATCCAGAGACTGTACAGACTACTACTTATATACAACAAAAATGAAATTTAAGATATAACTACCTATACACTTGTCTCTTATTCTATTGGCTATTCTATAACAAACTCACATGTTATTTACAAGAAAAAAAATGTGTGCAAAATATAAAACTTAATCTTATCTTCAGCTTCTTGTAGTAGGCCCAAGGAAAACGAATTAATTCATTGAATCCAATGGATGTAAGCCCAAGATTGATGCAGAAGCCCAATGTCTCTATAAAGTTTGGTTGACACATTTGTTTGTGCAAGACCATTGATTTCCTCCACGTGGCTTGATCTCAGCTACTCAATTCATAAAGATGTTCAGACATCAAATGTATCGAACATTCTAGAAGACCAAACTTTACCTTCTGTCAAAGACGAGTTCTTCTTCTTTATTCCTTTTTTCTTCTTCTCTATCTTTGAGTAAAACTCCATGAATCCTAGAATTAGAATGGGATTTCGTCTTTCCAACAACACTCCATAACTACTAACATTGTAAGTTCTCTTTCAAATATTTATTAATTCAAATCCCTTGTAATGCTCTTTAATCACTTTTAGAAGAAGTCACGAGAAATATAGAGATTATGAAGAAAGATTTTGGTGGAGCCTAAGAGTTGAGGGAAGAACTATTTTGAATTAATACACGCTAATATCAGAAATTAGTCCTTCAAAACCTGTATTTTTTTTTTAAACCTTTTAAATATTAAAAAAGATTATTCCACAAATATAATGAGATCTTTCATGATAGTGCGAAGCGCAACAAGTTCGCTAGTTATAGTTAGGTGAAATTTCCTACAAAAATTCGAGTCACCCTTTTCTAGCCCCGATTGGATGGCACACTGTTTTTAATCAAATATATATAGGTTGACTCAATGTTAATTTTATCCATGGTTATTGAACTTTTGTGTTTGTTATCCAAAAGTCACTTTTCTTTTTTTTGTTATGTAAAAATCATTAAATTTTGTGTTCATTACACAAAAGTTACTTTTCTTTGTTTTGTTACACAAAATCATTTTACTTTGCTCTAGTTATCACAAAAGTCATATTTTTACTTGAGTAGTCTATTATGCCCTTGTTATTATATAAACCTTCATATTTATATAATACCTTCTATATTATATACTATATAATATACTTTTACTATATAAACCTTCAAGATATATTAGTAGCATTATAAAACAACTTTTTTTCCAGCAATTTTTTTTTTTTTTGAATTTAATTGACCGACCAAAGTTGGTCGGTAATTTCCGACCATCTTTGGTCGGTAGGGCCTTTCGACCTTCAAAATATCGACAACGCGTTAATGGTCGTGTTTTGGATGGTTATTGGTCATTACCGACCAACTTTGGTCGATTCTTTTTAACGGGTTTTTCCGAATTTCAGTAGTATAAAATAAACAATTGTTCAGGTAAATCCCCAAAAAAATATCCCCAGCTAAATTCGCATGTAGAGTTACCTAGGAATTTTCCTTCAGATTAACATATGATTTTTTCATCATTTTCTTTGTTTGTTTATCTGCGAATTTTCTCACAGAAATGTACTTGCCGATTTTTTTCTCTACTAATATATATTAAAGTTACCGACAAATTTAATAACGCTACTAATATATCTTGAAAATTAAAATTAGAAAAAATTAAATATACGAATATATTATAAAAATAATAAATAAAATAATATTAAGTTATTTTATTTATAAATAAAATACATAAAGTATATTAATAGTATATAATATAGAAGGTATTACATAAATATGAAGGTTTATATAATAACAAGGGCATAATAGACTTTTCAAGTAAAAATATGACTTTTGTGATAACTAGAGCAAAGTAAAATGATTTTTGTGTAACAAAAGAATGAAAAATGACTTTTGTGTAATGAGCATAAAGTTGAATGATTTTTACGTAACCAAAAAAGAAAAGCAACTTTTGGGTAACAAACACAAAAGTTCAATGACGATGGATAAAATTAAATCGGTTGACCCTGATCTCTTGTCTGATCATTTGCTAAAAGACTATACATGGGGCTTAATTGACACTATAATTAAGCTAATTGATATCGCAAATCTCCAAGTATCTTCTCTCGATTGGATGGGCTTATGTCGCTAGAAAGGTGAGAAAGACTTCCAATCTTTGTATAGGGCAATTCGAGATGAACTCCTTCCCTTCCCTGCTGAAAACTCCTTCCTTGCTAAATCTTTCTGTTTCAATATTCGTCTTTTTTCTTGTGGACAGTCAAGTAGAACTTTGTGTATGTGGAATTAAAACAAAATGAAATTGAAGGAGCAGCTCATTTTGAGTCTTTGACAAGTGGTAAGAGAACTTGTTAAAAATAGGAAACGTTAGGACTAGGACTAGGACTAGGACTAGTCAATAAAATACTTTAGAATAACGGCTATATATGCAGACCGTACCAACGGTCACTTTACTTTTAACTTTTCTAATAAACACAATGTTTAGTTTCACTTCCTATATATCTGTGCGAACATTCCCTTAGTGTTCATCGCACATTAATCATCAGCCAAAACATCAGAATTTATCTATTAATTTCCTGCTAATTTCCTATTCAGATATTCTGTTCTTTCTCATTTTATTGCACTATGCCTAAATTATTTTCTATTGCTGTTCTTCTATTTTTCGTATTAAATTCCGGTGGGGCTCAAATTACAAATGCACCTTCTCAAGCACCGATATTTTCTCCTTCTAAATCGCCGCCGGCACACGTCACGGTTTCTTCTCCGGCGAAGTCTCCGGTGTCTTTGTCCTCGGCTCCTAAATCCAGTCCATCTACTTCGCCGGTACAGTCCCCGATGGCGAGTTCTCCGGTGACTACCATTTCTCCCGCACTCACTCCATCTGTGGCGACTCCTCCGCCAGCAGAAACTCCGGTGACTACTCCAGCATATTCGCCGGCGGTAGCTGAGGTTCCTTCAGAATCCTCAAGCATTCCTTCAAGTTCAGCAACTCCATCCGAATCACCGGGAATGTTTCCTTCTACTGGTAGCGAACCAACGTCGGCGCCGTCGAGTTTATCGCCGGAGACTTCACAGGGTCCAGTTGCTGATGATGCTTCCGCTGCAATTTCAATTCTCGAGTTGCCGATTGTTCTAAGTGGGCTTGCTGTTTGGGCTGCCCTATCATTTTGAATGCCTCCGGCCCAATACTGCGCACTGCCACATTTTGACATGCTATTATTGAGTCTATCACTATTGTTGTAATTTTTTAACACTGATATTCATTCAATGTACTGGACTACTTTCTATTTATTTATTTTAGAAAAAATGGCATGATTTGACAATAAAGAGAATTGACAATATTTTAGCCCTATATTAGGTTTGGCAAAGGTAACCCAAAAAATTGACATTATACAGCAATATTATAAATGATCCTAGTTTTTTATTTATACTCTCTCCCGGTATTTTTTCTTCTCTCCCCGTATTTCTTCTCCATTTTTTTTTCTTCTTCTTCAATCTAGCAAATTTTGTTCTTCAATCTGTATTTGGAAGGGCGGCATATATGTTCTTTGATAATCTTTGGGAAGTTGTAATGGTTGATACATTTTTCAGAAATATTATGAGTTCATGGAGATGAGGAGATCCGAAGAGCGAACACTTTTGCGGATAGTAAAGGGACCGATTGACACTGCCAGACACAATCCTAAAAACCCATTTGGTTTCTCGTGTCTCCAGTACAATCCAAATTGAACGAATAGAAAGTTCCTCCAACTAATTTGAAAAAAGATGTTTTCTTGTGAATTTCTTGTGTTATTTGTTGTCACATGACCAATTTTTGGTGTTGATGGGTGAATTCATCCGTATTCTTGCAAATTATGCAAAAAGAATCAGTGGCGTGAAAATGTAAGGTTAATTTCACATTAGAGAAAATCAAAAATAAAAATTAAGAGAGAAAATATATTTCAACTTTATTTTTTTTCTCTCTTCTCTTTTTCGGTTGGATTAAACGAGTGGGTGTGATTGAAATTGGTTGAAAATACCTAAACAAGATTATATACAAAATTTGAGCAAAATTAGAAGTTATTTATACTGGTTTCAGGTAAAAAAATCAGACCTAAAAATCCAACTGCGACATGTGTATATCACGTTGTATGTTGTATGTACATCACACACAAACTTTTAAGCACGTTTGTGTATATCACTTTGTATATCGTGTATACAATACAATTTCTTTATGGACGCCCGTGTATATTATATTATATATCGTACATATAACACAAATTTTCATGGATATACATATATAAACATGATATACATGAGATATATTGTATGCTGAGATATACAAAAAAGAAAAAAAATTGATATACATCTTAATATATACAAAGACGGAAAATAAAGGTGAGATATACACATATTTGATGTATTATACATAGTGATATACAAGCAACACTTAGATATAAATACAACAATAAATGATAAACAATTATATTTATAATTTCATATTTTAAATATAACAAAGAAGGAAAATAAGATTTTGATATACATAAAAAAAAATTAAGATTGTAATATACATATTATTGTTTTGATATACATTTATTGGCATCCAATAAATGAAAAGTGGGTTAATTCTAGCCAATTAGCAGAGTGAGTGATATACGGTGCCAAACTCCCTTTATTTTATTACTACTCACGATTTATATTTATAGTGAAATTCGAATTCCTTAATACTCTGACTTTCATTTAAGATACTTTATTAACTTAATTTAATATTTTGTACATCTAAAATTGCTAAATGACGAGTACTTTTTTGCAAACTATAAAACAAACTTACACACATATAATGTAAAAACAAAAGATAAGTTCTCATCCCTCAATTCTCAAACGATTAGTTT